TTCCGATTTCGCTTTCTCTGTGTGTGTATTAAATATACTGGCACTTTTTACAACTTTTTATACTTGCACTTATTCAAAAAATCGTTTTTTCTAACGTGGCTTGACATATATATCGGCATTATAATATTTCACTCACCGTGCTCGATGTAAATCCTAGATTGTCATGCGACATCCTGGAGGATGGATCACAATATATAAATAATCAAGTTCTCGCCGAAGGGTGAATTCGCATATGGCAGGAATGAAGATACCGAGTGAAAGGGTTGGACAGGTGGGAGAACAGGTTGACGGGAAACTGAAAGAAAGAGAGAGAAAGGAAAATTATATGGGTGCACAGAAAATCGAATGATCGCGAGGAGATTTAATCTCTAAAGGTCCGTTGCATTATTCGCCGTGATAGGTACGGCCGCCGCAAGTCGACTGATCTGACTTAGCGCGAAGTATTATTTATATAGCAACGCGCGGCGAGAGCACATGTGTGACTCGCGCTCGCGGTATCGTATATATCTTTATATATCATCTCGGCGGCAAGAACCGCGGTCATTCAGCCGACCGATTGATTGATGGATGCCATAAGCTTAGGAAAAGCACGTGAACACCTTACAACGTAGTAAATACCATCCTGGTTTACGACGATTATCATTTATCAAATCCGCGTAGCGGTATCCTCCGAAAGTGAGCGTTCAAGTCACCGAGTCAATCGATTATGCTACGCGCGAATAGTTTGTTTTTGCATTTATTTGCATGCACGATATAAATCATTATACCCGGAATAAGCGCGTATAATGCACTCACGAGTATATAGGAACAAGAATGTGAGTAAATAAATATGCGTATAACTTTGAAACATGAATAATTAATTTAATTGTAACGCATTGTAATTAAAAATAGCGTTTTGCCAATGTTCAATTTTTTAAAAGAGCAGAGAGAGAAAGCTATTAGAATACAATATAATAATTTATATATCAAATTAAATTTATAATATATAAATTAAATCCATATATTTAATTAAATTTATAAATTAATATATAACATATTTATTAAATATATTATACATATATAATAGATATGAAGATATATTTATAAGCGCTTATTCCGTGTATGTATATTAATCATTATTCTTTAAAGTAAAAAGTCCAATTTTTTTCTTGAAAATATAAAAATGCTGTAAATATAAAAATGTAAAGATACTTTGATGGCATACTAAATATTATATATATTTGTATGTGTGTGTGTAATTATTAATTTTTCCGCTTACTTTTGAGCAGTTTAACTAAATCTCAAGGACTTGAAAAATATTTTTATGACGTAAAGATTATTTCAGATTATTTAAAAAGATATTTATGATATTATATATTCTTTTTCAATTAAAAGTCAGATCTGAGCTTTATCAAGGTAGTTTGATATCATAATTAAAAGTTATAGTTATTTAAAAATTGTTTCAATCAACAACTTACAACTTTTGTGAATGTATGTATCGTACATATGGGCTTTGTAAACGAATAACTAATTAGTTTAATTTGTGTGTTCCCTTTAAATATTATCCGAGTTATATAATATTTTGAAATTGGTCTCACGTGTTAACATAAGACATTTGTGGTAAAAGATGCATATTTATTATCTAGCATTCATAATATGCCACTTTCAATCCTTTAAACAACATTATTTTCGCTGTATATTTCTAAGTAATTTGCAAGTAAGATAAAAGCGTGAGATATATTGTATGAAAACAATTAAATATATGATAAATGTGGAAAAAACTAACATATCAATTTTGAGATGTATAATATTTCGAAGTAAAAATATTTTAACAACGAATATTACTCATTGTAAAATATTTTCTCCTTCCCCCCGCGCAGTATTAATACATCTTATAAAGTGACATGATTAAGTATTGATGGTTCTCGTTTCTAAGTGTTGATATAATCGCAATTTTTATCTCTCCGAATGCTGACATCATTTAATTGATAACAAAAAAATATATACCGATCAAGTTTTTTCTTATATATTTTTTATCCAATTGTTTTTACGTAAATTCTTTAATTTCGTATCGCACACGGATTGTATATGACATACAATAAGTTTAATATTACACGTTAGCTTTTCGAAAAAAGTTCTCTTTTTATTCTTTTTTTTTTTAATAAAAGCATTTATAGAAATAAAATAAAGGATTTTGGATCGAAATCTACGATAAATCATAACATATGTCATTTTGACAGCTTGATTTTAAAATCAAGATACCAAATTTTGAAAAACATGCATGCTCGTCTGACTACTGACCGAAACGTGACTAGAGTACTCTATTGCACATGCAATAATAGATATTTTTAACTTTTTCCTTCTGTCTTATTGTTTTAGTTGGGCAAGCAATTTGAAAAAAAAAGAGAAGAATAAAAACACGACACGCGCGTGTATTCTTTTTAAAAGTATTACTTATATTTTGATTGACAAACTAATCGAAGAAGAATTTATTCGTTGAAAAGATAATCTTTATTTGAAAGTTGATACTTTGATATCTTAGCATTGTATTTTACATTGCAATACACGCGCGCAAACATTCCAAAATGTATGACGAAATACATTTTATGATATAAAGGATTAGTACAGAAAAGCAAACACACACATACAAATGAAACTATAATGGAAACTTCTGTATAATTGATAATGGTAAACTTTAATACATGCGTGGAAAAGTACCAATTTGGGTAGCCGCGTTCCTCTTCCACATCTTTCATAAGTAGAGCATAGACGTCACAAAGGCTGTAGATTATTATGTCAAATCAGCTCTTTACGTTTCGTTGTCTTTATTTCTGGAAACATAGGAGTCGATTAACGTTACAGAGCGTTCCGCGAAATGTTCGTGCAGAAATGTTAAAATCAAATAATTATCTTTTCATTTATATTAACACAAAGCAATAAAAGTAATATTTTGGGGGAACTGAATCGCTTTCTCATTGATGGAACGGAATGTTCTTGATACTTAAAAAATGATGATTCTCCATCAAAAAACATTGTATGACGGCGATACGACCATGAATCTTTCGTGTAGGAGTAGCATAAGGTCGATGAATTTGATTGAATCACGCTCGTCCTTAGTCTTCGCAGTTCACCTTCCAAATGAATATTGCACGTGAAAGTATTAAATATATATATGCGCGCGTCGCATAAATTAAGAATCGCACATCGCTCATTGAGATGAGACATGTATTTCGAAACATTTATCTCTATTCGATATAGGTATATATGAAAATAAATAGCAATTCAACGTATATGCAGCTTAAAACAAGAAGAATTTATATAAGCATATTTTATGACTTGGTATAAAAATCTTATATATATAAATCCACTATTTCTATATATATTCGTTACACGCATGTGCAAGGAAAGTTCTTGTTAGAATAAATGTATATTTGCTGAATTCGATATCTATGTTAGAATGTTTCTAAGTAATAAATGTTTACAAATCAGTTTATAACTCTCAGTTATAACAAGATATTATCGTAATTATACAATAGTTGTTCAAGTAGTTGCAAGCCTAAAAGAGAAGAATACACATAAGTGTGTGTGATTAATAAAATAATGTTTGTTTTTTTTTCAAACGCGCTGTTTATAATACAATTCATAATAGAATATGTATGTCATACATATTCATTATTTTCCTAAAATAGCAAAATGCGCGCATATATATATAAAGCTTATTACAAAATTACAAATATTTTGCTCGGTGTTTATATGATGATATATATATCATTTGTTTTATATCTACAGAGGGAAGTTGATTTTATAATTGGAATCGAATGTTTGACAGTCGACGCACGACAGCTGTCGATTGCACAAGTGTCAATATCATTTTAAATGAAATTAAAAGATTATTTGGGCATTGATACTTTTAATAATTTTTGGCACACGTTTATAATAGCTAGAATCTAGAATTCATACTAAAATATATATAAAAATCTTTTTACATCTTAAGAAAAGATA